AAAATGAAATGTTGGTTTAAACAAAATAATTATTGTAATTGTTCAATAAAATATCTTTTTATTAATGTAAAGAATGTAAATGTTTGACTTTTTTTATATAAATATGAACAATTTGAAAAGAATATAGCTAACTACAGTTGTACGAACGGAAAAATAGATTAGTTTCATGTAATAATTCTTTGAAATTCCAAATTTTTAATTTGTCTCTTTATTAACAATTCTTTTAAATAAAAAAAGTTCAACTTGATCAATATTCATTGAAAGCGAGAGAAAAATATTTGTTTCTATGTTTATTATAAGAATGGTTAAGTAAAATAAGATTTATTATTTATAATGTGCTCAAATATTTGTTCACAACATATCGAATGAGAAACTAGACAAACGTCAATTTGATAACAAATCAATATGATTTTATGCGATGCATAATTACAATTAGATATTCAATGTCGTGCTTCTGCTGAAATTGTGATCTCTTTTACTGTAATTTAATATTATTATTCAAAGGAAATATGATAGTCGTGTCAATGTGGAATATTCATGCATATTTGGTTTTATGACAATTTAAAAGATAAAAATAAAAAAGAAATACTTTTTTGATGAAGGGAAGTATCGAGTGGGTGTGAGTGCGACTGTGGCTAATCTCTTTAACTGTCCAAATTCACATTCACACTTAAGTAATAATAGAAATAAAAATAAATCTTGCTAGGATGTTCTTATTTATGACTTCTAAAGTACTAAAAACGGAAGAGACATTATTGGAGGTGGGTGTGCGTGTAAATAAATAGAAAAATCATATTCACACTCACATCCATACCCTAGACATCACTCTCATTTTTAAAACAATATATGAGGGACAACTAAAATGGAATGAATGAGTTCTATACTACTGATTGGTGAGGATCCAATATCTTTTTTGTATATTTACCTATTCAATTATTTAAAATTATAAAGATGACTTAAGAACGAACAAAGTGACCCTATCGAAAAAAAAATAGAATGACGTTAAGCACAAAAACATGCTGAACATGTAACATAAAAGATGTATTGATCAGATATGAAAGCCATAAACGATGATTAAAAAGGAATGCTTAATTAATGTGTTAGATCTTGAGTGATTTGTTACATAAAAAAAATATTATAAATATATTTTTTATTGGATTCTAATGAACTATATCCAGATGTACTCTTTTCCGGAAAAAATTTAATGCTGAAAGCGTTCACGCTAGTGATTTTTGATAAAAATTATATCTTTTGGAAAGCACAATTAATCTACTTTTATTCGCACATTGACTAAATGTTCTTCTACTTCATGTTGTTCATTTTAAAAACTCCATTACTAAATAATAGTTATACTATTTCTCAAGAATATTTGGTGTCCATACGGCTATAGCATGCAAAACTCAAAAAGCTGATATGAAATATGAAATAATTTAGTATTACATTGTTTTTAAAATATACTGATAATTGAGTTTTTGATAAATTACAAATAAATTTAATCAAATTATATAAATTGTTACTTTCGAACTTTTGCAATAGAAAGTTTTCTGAAAACTAATGCGAACAATAGAATTGATTTAAATATTTTTATTGAAATCAAACTTAAGTAGTATTCAATTTAATATTTTGTGCAACATAAACATTTTAACCTTATTTAATTTCAAGATAAAAATTATTAAATAATTATTTCCTTACTTTTTTTTGATCGTCATGAAAAAAATTGTTATTTTCTTTTATGTTTTTGTTGACAGAATGTATCTATAAAATAAAGTTTTGGAATAAGTGAATCAAGAACAGAAAAAAAAACAATAATAATGATGAAAATTACATTAATAGAAACGTAACAAAACTATGAAGTAAACCGATTCTTACATAGACAATATAATTGACAATCGGAGTTATGGACGGATGAGTGCTATCTACCTGCTCACTCATGAATAGTACTGATCATCTTTAGAACTCGACTCTCGTGTGAAAAAAGTCTTGCGTTCTAATGCATTAAAGACAAAAAAGAATAAATTTAAAAAACAATATTAATATAGATAAAGCAAATAGTGAATGGATGTCTTAGTTTTGATTTTCTAATGAGTATATACATAAGTTTGTAAAATGCATTAGTATTGAGCTACTGTGTAGACTTACATTAGAGAATGACAGGCAGTCTTTTTTTTTAGATGTGCGTAAAATTATTTGTAACTTACTCTAGGAGTGATAGTCTATCCGTGAAAAACATTGAAAAGAAGATAAGAAAAAAAGAAATCTTGTTTCTTTCGTGAGTAATTATGTACTGTAGAACGACAGTGGTAACATAATACAGTGGTCAATTAGATCAACTTAATTTTATTCTTTGTTTTTCAAAAAGAAAAATCATCTTTTGCTTTACTTTTCACAGATAAATATTTCCTTTTTTTTGACAAGCACAATAATTGATGCACTTAATATCAGTGGATAGTCTTGACAACAATAATACTGGAAAAAAGTATTGAACCTTCTGCTTCTTTTAAGTCATAGTGGTTAAATTGTTTCTTGCAGAACTTTTTTTTCTTGACAATATAAGAAAGTTTCGTATTTCCGTGTAGACCAAATTAAGTTGTCCAATTTGAACTTTTTGATGAGTACATAGTACTAAAATCAACGCTCTACATAGAATTCAAAATATCATAATAGTCAAGGTCGAAAAATTATGGTTTAGTCGGCTATTTTCTTGACGATTATACCGAACCCATCACAAATAGACTTTTTCCAAAGCATCAATGTTTTTTTAAGAATTAGTGGTTTTCACAGAATCCATTTCAATAGTTTCTAATGTTGTAGGATGTATGTGTCAGTGCGGATAAGATCAACACTAACACCGACAACAATATTCATAAGAACAGTCCTCTATCGGGTTGCTCTGATGTATGACGGAAATCTGAACTCTACAAGTCTCAGCGTTCAAAAGTTTTTCAAAAATCAGTGAACAGTGTTTTAAAAAAAATCGACACTCTTTATCTCAAAACAAAGCAATACACATCAGAATAAAACATCGACATTACGAGGGCAGAGAGAAATTCGATCAATGAAAAATTCATAGCCTATCGATTGTGAATAATGTTTGGCAAATGAAATCTATGATAGTGCACAATTAGAAAAAATTGTTGTTGTATTTAATTATAACAGAAAGCAAGCATGATACGTTTACAGACTCAGTCTACGAAAATCTTTTCAAGTACTTTCTATTTAACTATACGAAAAATCTTTCTCAAACTGATGTAAGATTATTGCTGAAGCTAGAAGAGATGAAACAAATTATCACAACATATTGATGTTTTGAGTTTTCTGATAAATATTAGCAAGCGGCTGTTATCTCTTCAAAGATTCATAATAAATTGGTATATAATACTTAATCTGTACAGAATCTATTTCAAAGAAAAAACTAACGGGTAGGGCAGAATAATTGGCCGCGTTTTGCATCCTATATTTTCATCACTTATTTCACCTGATTAAAAAAAAATACACCAAAAGATGCAGCGTGAAAAGCTCTACAATTTACATAAGACTGCTTTTCCTACAGCTGTAATTTTTGTTTTCAAAATAGACAAAATTTGGAGCAATCAAATTTCAACTGTGCGAAAATTGATCGCAAAGAATTTTCCTCTTTTTGAAAACAATTACAATAAGCTTTAGTATATAAATTGTAGAGCTTTTCTTGCTGTATCTAGTGGTTTTTTTTTAATACAATATATTATTTGAATGAAAATTGAAATGGAAAACGCAGCTATTCAACTTGTGCCACCCACATATGTAACATAAATAGGCATTGGTTTTTTCTTTATTTTAATAGATGTACTCACATATTCAATCAAATAATTTACTTGTTTAAAACGATAATTTCTATTGTTTGTTATTGTCGTCTAGCAATGGTATCATATTTTTACATATTTGCCTCTGAATTTCTCAACTATTAGTGTTAAATTTTTTCTTGAATCGCATCGCTATGACTTACATGAAACCAATCTAGCCTTAATTGAGTAACAAATTCTTTATGACAATCACTAAAATGTTGTAAAAATACTGAATACTTTATCGTAAACAATTTAGTCGGGCATTGCAATCTGTTTATTTTTACTTTGTCTTCTGCAATTTATAAAGCATTTTCAAGACTTCCTTGTTCTCTCATTATGTTTATGGATACAAACATATATTGGAAAGTACGCTAAATAGAAGTTCAACAAATTCGTTATCATCTTACAAAAATATATAGAAACCGTTTTACTTGTGTAATAGATATTTGTTTACTGTTTCAAGAGTTTTGGAGCAATCTGTATATTTTAATTTCATAGTGTATAGAACAATCACTTACATAATATAAGCATTCAAATACATAGATACCTTGAAAGTTTTATTTGTATCCATAAATAAAGGAAAATTGAAAGTCACAATAGGCAGGCTTATCTATTGTGTTAGCCAACAGATAGGGTTCACAATACCCAATCCAACCCTACGACTCATGCGCTGAAAAGATAAATTTTAAATTTTGCTGGAACCCACCCATTGAGCAATCGGTGAGGTTCAGTTGACTCATGAGTGAAAAAAGAATCGACTTTCGGCATCCTTGATGGGCTCGTGCTGGTCGTTGTCTTGTCTTAAAGAAAAGAAATAAATCAACTTGACTTACATACTCAACCACTGCTTCCAGATCTCTCGTCACTTGTCTCGCATCTTTGAGCACTTCTCCAGCTTCACGGATTTTCTGGATATGTGATCCTGGCGTAGCTTTACAAATCAGTGAAGAGTTTCCTATGAATAAAAGTTAGATTCTTAAATATTTGAAAAAATTTATAATTGAATTGTTTCTCACGTTGTTATATTATTTAATTGAATGCATTGATTGTTAAAACTCAAGCAGCAATATTTTCTTTTTTTTTTCTTATTATTATTTTGTTTTTGTTTTATTGACAATATCAAGGAAATGAAAGTTCAAATATATACAAAGAAAAAAGAAAAATAAATATTTGTCTAGTTTAATTTTGCCGCGGTTGTAGATTAAGATTAATAGGTAGTTCATTGGTTATTGTAGACTGTCGAGGTGAATTCGCAGCAACAATCATTGTACAACTTCGACGTCGACAAGAATAAATAACACTAAGTGCTGTTGGTTCTGATGAACTGCGACATGAAACATTACTTACAAAAGAATATTTTGATGACCAT